CCATGGCTTTCGTATAATAGAGTACTTACGTTTATTGACGGATACATTTTATGACTAGTCATATTACCATCAACCTCTAAGACTAGGAGGGCAGTTTTAATGTTCCTTTTTTTAATGAGTTGGCCTGGGAAAAGAAAAAGGCAAAACCAAAAGCAAGGCTAACAATGCCCAGCAGAAGCATGTCAACTGAAGCCCTTGGGGCAGAGGAAGCCTGGCACAGTGCACCTTCTTTGCAAAGAATTTCAAAATACAAGGAAGTTAGAAGTATATTAATTTATAGAAAACAAACATAAGAAGCAAAGTAATTCATAGACAACAAACACATCTTTCATTCAGATAATGCTGTTGTTCAATTTTACACCATGTGCTTTGCCATTCTCTCTGTGGGTGTGTATGTATGGACATGCAAACACACTCACACATTGTTCTGAACATGTGAGGCTAAATCACATTCACATGCCCAATACCCAAAATATCATATATTTTCCAAGACTAGAGAGAGTCGTTCCTGCAATGACAGTTCACTCTAATGTAACCCCTGCGTGTACTCTAATCCACAGGCTGACCTCATATTCTTTGAAGCATATGCAAGACACATCCAGGATCCTTCCCTGCGTGTGGCTGCCGTGTATTTTCAGTATAATGTAATCTGGAAAATTTCCACGACATTTTTTCTTTTCTTTTTTATTTATATTTTATGGCATTGACATTTTTGTTCTTTATTTTCTTCTTATTTATTGATTTTTATTGAGCTCTATCTACATTTTTCTTTGCTCCCCTCTCTGCCTTTCCCCTCCTCCCTTTAACCCTCCTGCAAAGTCCCCATGCTCCCAATTTACTCAGGAGATCTTGTCTTTTTCTACTTTCTACTTCCCATGTAGATTAGATCTATGTAAGTCTCAGTGTCCTCATTGTTGTCTATGTTCTCTGGGATTGTGGTTTGTAGGCTGGCTTTCTTTGCTTTATGTTTAAAAAACACCTATGAGTGAGTACATGTGATAATTGTCTTTCTGTGTCTGGGTTACCTCACTCAAAATGTTTTCTAGCTCCATCCATTTTCCTACAAAATTTAAGATGTCAGTGTTTTTTTTTCTGCTGTGTAGTACTCCATTGTGTAAATGTACCACATTTTCCTTAGCCATTCTTCGGTCGAGGGGCATTTAGGTTTGTTTCTGGGTTCCAGCTATGACAAACAAAGATGCTATGAACATAGGTGAACACAGGTCCTTGTGATATGATTCAGCGTCCTTTGGATATAAAAGTGATATTGCTGGGTCTTAGTAAACAAGAGGAAGAGGAAGTGAGGTAAGACTCTGCTCTGCTCCTGGAGAGACCCAACAGCTCTGCTCTCTGGAGCAGAGACACCATGCTCAGCTCTGCCCGATAGACACGATAGCTCTGTGCTCTGAGGCAGACACATGAAGCTCAGACCCAGGATGGACATAGGTTAGAATCTTCCCGGTAAGCGCACCTTGGGGTACTTACACACATTATTAGAAATGGGTTAGAACAATATGTAAGAACTAGCCAATAAGAAGCTGGAACTAGCCGGGCCAAGCGGTGTTTAAATGAATACAGTTTGTGTGTTGTTATTTCGGGCATAAGCTAGCCAGGTGGCTGGGGTGTTGGGGACGCAGCCCTGCCACTCCTATTTCAACAGGTCTTGAGGAAGATTGTTTTCTAATTTTCTGAGAAATCGCCACACTGACATCCAAAGGGGCTGTACCAGTTTGCACTCACACCAGCAATGCAGAAGTGTTCCCTTTACCCCACATCCTCTCCAGCATAAATTGTCATCAGCGTTTTTGATCTTGGCCATTCTTACAGGTATAAGATGGAATCTCAGAGTTGTTTTGATTTGCATTTCTCTGATGACTAAGGATGTTGGACATTTCCTTAAGTGTCTTTCAGCCATTTTAGATTCCTCTGTTGAGAGTTCTCTGTTTAGGTCTGTATTCCATTTTTTATTGGATTATTTGTTCTTTTGATAACCAATTTCTTGAGTTCTTTGTACATTTTGGAGATCAACCCTCTGTCTAATGTGGGGTTAGTGAAGATCTTTTCCCATTCTGTAGGCTGTCATTTTGTTTTGTTGACTGTGTCCTTTGCTTTTCAGTTTTGGGAGGTCCAATTTATTAATTGTTTTCCTCAGTGTACATGCAGTCTGTAGTACATGCACTCTGCGGTACATGCAGTCTGCAGTACAAGAAGTCTGTTGTACATGCACTCTGCGGTACATGCAGTTTGCGGTACATGCACTCTGTGGTACATGCTGTCTGTGGTACATGCCTCTGCGGTTCATGCATTCTGTGGTCTTTCCCATCTTCTATCTACCATCTATCATCTAGCCACAATATCAGCACAGAGTCTTGAATTACTCTTTTTCCCAGTGGTTTAAAATTCATGCTATTATGATTTTTAATGATTCTTAAACTTGTGATTTTATCAAGTATTTTGCACCCAAATTGTCCCAAGTTTGGGGAAGTTTCTTTGGGTTCAGGTAATACACTTCTCTCATTTCTTTGATTATTTTTGATTTTAGTGTATAAAAATGTTTAAATCTTAGCTGGGCGGTGGTGGCCCAGCACTCGGGAGGCAGAGAAACCCTGTCTCGAAAAACAAAACACAAATAGTTAAAATCTCACTGAGTACTGCTCTGTCTTTATGTGGAATCAGCCATTCCTTTTAGTGAGAAATGACATCAAACAACAAGCTCTGAGTGCTAAGCGTGCTTATGTTTCTGGGGTATCTGTGCTTCTAGCTCTTTGGGGAAACAAAACCAGAAGACCCAAGCATGCAAACATACATCAGGTATGTGCTTATATCATACACATACACGTGTAGTTGTGTTTGTACAATTGTACCTATTTATAAACGCACACACAGCTTGGAGATTGTATTAGTCCCTGTGACAAAACACCCGGTCTAAACAACGGGAGTGAGGGTTGCTGTGGCTAGTGGCTTCTGAGATCAGAATTCCAAAGGCTCCGTTAGTTACCTCCATTGGTTCTGGGCCTGTGGTCCACGAAGCATCATCACACCCAGACTGTATAGCAAAGGCAAACTCATTGAAGGTAGGGGGCATAAAAAGAGGGAGGGGACTGGGATAACCTTCAAAGGCATGCCCCCAGTGATCTACTTCCTCCATGTAGACCCCACCTGCTAACGTTTTTAACATCACCAAAATAGTCCCACCAGTTAGGGTGTCAAGACTTTAACATGTGTAACTGTAAGGGACATCGCTATTCACAGCATGATGGAAACCGTGGATTTACACTGATCGCTTTGCATTTATTCATGGATTTTCCTGTCTTCCCTCATTTGTGTGTATGTGTGTAGATAGATAGATAGATAGATAGATAGATAGATAGATAGATAGATACCGTCTTCCACCTTGAACATTTGATTGCATGAACCGTCACATAATTATCATTTACTCAATTATACATTAATTTCATTCTTATATAAGCACAGTGGCTTCTCATTCTTGAATATCAAGAATTACTGAATTCATTAATTTTACGACTACCAAACACAAAAGAGGTCATATGCTCATCAAATCTTTTATGAGAATGTAGCAGCTTTTATTTACCATATACAAACATGGGTTATAACCCAATTGTCTCAATAGAAGGATGGATTACCAAAATGATACAGTTATACAATGAAATAATACTCATAAATAAAAAGGAACAAATTACTACTACATGTAACAATCTGGATGGATATGAAGAACATCGTGCTAGGTTTTAAAATGGAAGCAGAATGAATGCATGAGGTCTAGTTCTATTTTAGGCAAAGCTAATCCAGCACCAAATCAGCACCATCGTGCTTCTGGTGGGCGAGACAGAACAAGATATTACCTTTGGAGGGGGACGAGGAAGCTTTCTTAGATTAAGGACATGTGTTTATCTTGGTCAGGATGTGAGCTATGTAGGCGCCTACATTTGTCATCGTACGTTCGATTGCTGTGGTAGCCTTGTATCCCATTGTCTGTACATTGTAAAACTTTGGCCAAAATGGAATGGAGGTGGCTCCTATTGGCTGAAAGTAGAGCCCCCCAGTTTAAAACAGCTCATCCCCTTGTTTTGTTTTCTTTGTGGTTCCCCTGCCTCATACCTTTCCAGGCCCCTGGAGACATTTATCACTGCCCAGATCAATATTCTTACTTTGCTTTAGTATTGATTACTTCTTTTCAAACAGTATGAGGGCAGCCTAGGCTGTCACTTAGCAGACAGTGATTTTCATGGGCTATTTGTGTCTGGTCAATATAGAAGGATTAACATAGTAAGACACGGATGAAACGGAAAATGTCTAAATTAACAAATTTAGGTTAATTCTCAACTTAAACATTTACCTACAGAACATATCAGGACAAATGCAAAACCAGACAAGTCAGCTGCAGGGTCCTCGGGTCTCTCTGAATGATTGCCAGTCTTAGGTGGGGAAGCACCAGTTGAATGATGCAGCGATTTTCTCAGACCTTCTCATAAATTCTGGTGCAGACCACACCCTTCACCATGCATTCCTTAAGAGAGGGAGATTGACTGTGTAAAATACAGGTTAGAGAACAGGACATATGAAATAAAACAGTGGTCTAAATGAATGCATACGATCACATTTAGACAGGATAAAACATTCACATGTCAGTTCTCTAGCAGTTCACAACTACGGCCACTGACATTTGAGGAAAACCTTTAAGGTTGATCTGTGTTACTATCCATGATATATCCAGTTATAATGCTTAATGTTGGTAGCCAGCTTTGTGGGAGCTGGAGTCCGCACAAAGATAAAATAAAGCTCCATGTCTGAAGGAGAGTCTGCGTTGGGTAGCTGAGGTGAGAAGACCTGAAGACTGGGCACACAGGTCACAATAGCGAAGTGCTGTTCCATGGACCATGGCCTTAGACTAAGGCAGAAGAGGTGGGCTGGATTCTAGTGTTCATCTGTCCTTACTTCCTGATATCCGTGACAAACTTCCTCAAGTGCCTGGTCTCCTGTCTTCCCTGACATGATAGACAGTGTCTCCTCTAACCATAGGTCAAAATCCTGCTGGTCTTTGGCTTCAGTGTGGACAGGACTTACCTTGGGTATTGCAAACCCCTTAGCAGAGAAAGAGCTGGGTGAGAAGGAGGACATATACTGGAATCATGTGTCATAAAGAGTTTAGAGAAAGAAGACTTTTATTGATATTGTGTAGTGCTAGTAAGAAAGAAGGAATTAAGGTTGCTTCTTCTGAACTAACAGCCTTCTTACAATTTGTACAATGATGTAGTCCTTGGCTCCTTGGACCTGGGGACATGGGATAAGGTGGGTAGAGACAATCAACACTGCACCACCTCTAAAGAGTCTGAGAGCATGCCTGTGGAAACTTGTTCTCTCTGTAATGTCACACCAGGCCCTTGATACTAAATTGTAAATTGCACCCAGCGACGACCCGCCTCTGCCTCTGGTTCCTCCATCATGTGAAGGGATGGATACTTTCATTAAAATGTCATGGGTCAAAGCAAAATACCTTTTATATCTCCCAGGCTCATGTAGTCTCTAGAGTTTAAAGCTCAAAAAAGTGATAAGAAAGTGATTTAAGGTACATTTAAAAAAACAACAACTGTATATTGCTTATAGTTTAAAATGTATATAATTTGCAACAAAATTTGGCTTTAATATATAACAAAAAACTTATAATTAAAATTCCATACATGGGGGTATATATACACATGTGTGCATGTGCACGCATGAGTGTACGTGCATTGGTGTGTGTGCATTTGTGTGTGTGAGTTTGTGTGTGTAAGGGTGTGTGTGATATTCAACTCTTTTTTAAAGTGTGTGTGTGTGTTTGTGTGTAACTTAGATTATCATAGTCTGGTTCTGTTTTGTGAGATCTATCTGGGACATGGAGGGGGTTCAACAGGACCCCAATAGTCTCTGTCCAGGGCAAATAGTGAGACATTGCCCACCACTTGCTTCTGGTTTGTTGTTGGAAGTTTTCATCTGTAATTTATGTATGTGGACTGGTCTATGTTTTCTGGCATGTCTGTAAGTTTTGTTGCAAGCATGGAGCTGAGACAGAAGTGTCTCTGCTGCCACCATCTCTGAGATTATTGGTCACTGGATTCAGCTTGGCAGGAGTTCAGAAGTCTTTTTCATGTGGAAAACATTACTTAGAAGTTTCCTCTATGACCTGTGTCAGATTGATTCACCTCACATTGATGGGGAAAAGGAAAAAAAATAGAACAGCCAAAAAATTAGACTTGGTTTATGTGAACATTCTGTTCTTCAAGACTTATAAATTTATGGGGTATGGTTAAAAATCTGTAAAGTTTATTTATTTATTTATTTATTTATTTATTTATTTATTTATTTTTAAAAAAGGTTAAAACTAGTAACACTGAGGGTTGATAGTTTAAAATCTATGTATAGGAATCTTAAAAGAACCGTGTGGCCTGATCCCATCTTTAGGCAGCCATGTAACTGGTCACCACCACTGCTAGGGTTAGAGAAGATGGATGTCATGTGACTTCACTGCCATCGTAATGAAAGGAGACCCTGTGGGGTGCGACTACCAAAGAGACACCAGCAGGTCTCCGAGATATTTTCGATTAGGATAGATTTTTGTGTGATAATTCCTGTCCTGCAAACAAGGTTTACAAAGATAGGATTTAAAAACAATGTTTAATAAGGCATTAAGCTACACCTCCATGCATTTATATGCAAGACTGTTCAAACCCAGAGTTGGTAACACGAAGAGTCTTCCAGGTAAAACTGGTTTTTAAGACATGAGGGGTTATAGGGAAGCAGCCGAAGCTTCCGAATGTGCGGCAGAGCTAGCGTTCCTAAGGAGAGCCCAGCTGCAACTGTGAACCTTACCAGTTTCGGGGATGCTGGAGCCATGATTGGCACCAGAAGCCCCAGCCACAGTTAAATAGAGCGGGCTGGGATCTGGAAGGCAGTCTGTGAAACGCGGCCCAGGTTGAATTCAGAGAGGAGACCCAAAGCCCTTGGAAAAGATTGTTCCCTCTGTTGGAGCTCCGTTCTGCCTTGGGTGGGTTATGAAGGTGCCCTATGTTTCCCCTCTTGGAATAAAATAGAGTATTTTATTTCTGAGAGACTGTACACTTTTTAAAAAGAAAAGTGGAGTTTTACAGACATTTAAATTATAAAAAACACACTGGGAAACATTTAGATTTCGAACATTTTTAGTTTAGAACACCTTTTATCACAATGTCTTTATGGAATCTTGGGAGACAGTTTGCTTTTCTAGCAGCAAGCGCCCAGCTCCTTTCTCCCTAGGCGTCAGCTGCCTTCCTAGTCCCCTTCGCTCAACGACTCAGGCCTCGGGCCTCGCTTTCCTAGAGCTACTCCTAGGTCCAGACAGTTTACCTTTTACTGAAAAAAGAGAAAACTCACAAAACAGATTCCAACGAAGCTTTTTACTATTCCTTTCTTTACAGAAACTCACTTTTCCACGACGCTCTGTGTCTTGAAGTGAGTGACTAAAAGAATAAGGTGTGAAGTTTATGTGAGGTCTCAGGACAGGAAAGCTTAAGTTATGAGGCTCTAAAAATTTGTTTTAGGGTTCTAAGATGGTATTTTACGGTGTGTATAAAGGTTTGAGGACATAAAATATAAAGATGTGTCTTGAGGTACGTGGATGCAATTTGTGAAGTATAAGAAAGAAGATGGCTTTAAGGTTTATGGAAAACAGCTCAGAATTCCTTCACTCTCTGTGCTGTTGTTACATTAAGACTTAAAATCCAGAGTTTTAGCATTAACCAATGAAATTCTGATAAAATCCAGAGTTTTAGCATTAACCAATGGAATTCTGATAAAACCCAGAGTTCAGCACTAATCAACGGAATTCAGATAAAACCCAGAGTTCAGCACTAATCAACGGAATTCTGATAAGCTGTTACTCTAGCTCCAGTAAAGCACAGCTCCTATTCAGTCACAAGGTCAAGATTTTACATTTCTTTTGGTGGTTTTCTAAATGTAGACTTAAAAGTGCTTTTTGTTGTGCTAAAGGCATCTGTGTAATCTTTATACAGAGTCTTCTAACAGGTTCTTATAGGCTTCAGGAAACTGACTTGGATCTACCTCATAGATAGGTCATACGAACTACAGATTAGGTACTGCCAATCAGTAGCCTATTTCCTCACTTGCCTATTCCTGAGGGAGTGTGAATTCTCCCCCCTTCCCTGGTCTTGGGGCTACCTTCTCCCAGCTATCAGGACCATGGAGCTAGAAGTTTCCATTGTACACCTAGCTCTAGACGGTCAAGCGGAGCCTGGACAAAAAGGTATTTGGACAACATTCCACCTATGCCCCAGCATCAGCAGGAAGTAGACATAGACAAATTCTTTCTTCCTTATCATTCATTTATTATCAGCAAAAAGGCTGGGACTTGTGAAATTTCAAACCTGGGACAGAGGTGCCTGTTTAAGATATCAAATCAAAACTGGACCTGGCTGCCAGGTTATCCCAGCACCCTTCAGTCCCTCGCTGTTTGTTATAGGGTGTGACCACATACCCTACCTTCTTCCCTGGACTCTCCAGCCCTAGGCTGGGTTGCCTTCCCTGCAGAGGCTTTCCCCTATAGAATCCAGACATTTTGGTTGCAGACCTTACATGGCCAAATTACTGTAATTATTCATGGTGTTACAATCTCCCTTGGCTTCCGCATGGAAAGATTTGTAAATTCCTTAAATTCCTTTGTCGCAGGAGGAACCTTTTTGTCATTTATTATAAATTTGAGCATTATTCTAGACTTTGTGCTCATTCTTATCCTTCTTCCTGTCATTCTCTGGTGACTGACAAGCCTATTTGATCTCTTCATCATAGTTTCTAGATGTCTAAATTACAAAATTAAAAAAAAAGAGATGCCATGGGCCACATAATGACCATTACTGCTTGACAAAGTTCCAGCATTTCAACATTAGACCACACTTCCCCAGTACTTTTTAACTTTCGTTTTTAAAGATTCTCACTATTAATGCCTTCCCCCTTTGGAAAAATTTGTGCAGGTTTTGAAGGATGAAAATATGTACAATGGTAGCCTCTCTCTAAACAAAAATAATTCTCTGGAGAGAATTCCCTGCCACACTATGGAACCAGGAATCCCATTGTGCCCTCCTAATTACATACAGCAAGTGCAGGAAGATTAGAGATTTACTAGACATGTTTGATCTAGGATAAGATGCCTACAATTCAGATCCACAATCTGAGGCCACTGAGGGCAAGGCTTCAGTTAGTAAGTGTAGAGAAACCAGAATGGGATGTTATAATGGGAAAAGAATAAGACACCAGGAGTGTGGTGAGGGGACAGGCCCGGGTAGTAAGATTAAGACACAGACGCATTGGAACAGCTCAGGGCTTATCCCTGTGAGGAAGGAAAGTTGTTCTTGAGTATAGTATCTGCTCCCTAGAAGTCCTTTTCCCAAGGTCAGGCATTTGGATGAGGATCTCCATTTCTTTGGGGGCTTGAGGAAAGTTCTTGCTTACTAAAGCAGTCATTCTCCTTATCTCTGGCAAGAAAAATCTAATTTCCCTTCATTAACATATGACTGTTGTCAAAGTCATTGCTAGATTCCTCAACCCCTGATCTTGTCACACCCCAGCTCAGTGCTCCCGTTCTCCCATCCAATCCTATATGCAAATCTAAAATATAAAAGACATATTCCTTTTTCAATAAACACAGCTGGCAACCATCCTGATTCACTCTGAGATTGTGTCCAGTCCCTGGCTCCTGTCATCCCCTCTCCCACTCCACATGTTTTTGGACTTGAGCCCCTGCCTAAGCAGGTCTCTGGCATAGTTCTTTTTTCTGGAGATACTTTTTAGTATTTTGCTCACAAGGAGAATAGCGACAAATAAAAAATGATTTTTTACATTTGCCTCATCCAGTGAGTGGTTAAATAAACTCCCTAAGAGATTCTGATTGATTGATCTATAATGGGCCCTCATGTTGGAACTGTCTCCCCAGGTAAATTTAGTTCAAAGCGAAAACTAAGAACCACACACTGAGAGAGATAGCCAAAACATTGGAGGATTGTGTGTATGTGCCAGTTAGTGAGCACAGAGCCACAGGCTTCAGTCCTTCCAGTCCATCTTAACTCTTTTTCCTCGGATCTGCTAACTGAAGGAGGTCTTCGGAACTTACAGCTTAGATTGCATTTTTTACATTCTTTAGGTAAATTCCCATGGACCATTGGAAGCAAAGTACTTTTACTGCAAATATTCTATAATTGAGCCTTTCAGGGTTATATTTTACTTTTGAAGTATACTTTTTTTTTTCTTGTAAGCCCAAACAAGTGACATTTATCCATATTTTCAATATTGTTTAAATGTTATTGTTTTGATACGGCTGCTTGGAAATCTTGAACTAACACTTAATGGACTTAAATATGAATCTGTCAGAAGCCATTTCCCTCCTAGAAGTCATTACAGGAACCATCACCCTGGGGAGTCTGCAGAGAACCCCACACCCATAATTATGTTCTATTGACAGAACCTGCCCCACACCCAAGTAACTGCTATCTGATAGCCGAACCCGCCTCACATTCCAGCTATCCAGGGAACTAGGTGTGTCAACTCAGGACTTCCTCGCCAAAGAATCATCACCTGACCTCCTGGCCTACAGGACCTGGACAGTGCCCTGCCCCCCAAGCCCTCCTCCAGGGGCTATATAAGCGGCAACCAGGACTCTAATAAACGAAGGCTTTGACAAGAACCCCCGCTTAGCCTCCTCCTTCTTTCCTAGCCCATTTATCTTCCAGATAGTGCCTCTCTGGGACCCTGGAGTAACTGATTGCGGGTGGGTTACAACCCCTAGACTTAGTGACCCACCCACCGCAATCCACATGAATCCTTTATGGTTTTCCAGTTAAGCACTAACTCTGGCTTTATTCTTAGCATTATGGTCCATTTATAGTCTAAAGAACAAGGGGCATTTTGAGACAAGCATAATCAATGTATTTATGTAGCATTATTTCTGTCCCGAGAATTGGGGATCTTCTTACTAAGCATCTCAACTCCCCGACGCCCACAAAATCAGCAACAGACGCCAACAAAATCAGCATGAAGCAGTCACGCAGATGACACAGATGACCGGCTCACACAGGCGCGCAAGGGCTTAGCTGAGTCATACGTGGACGTAACCACGCATGCGCGCACATGGGTCACACAGGACTCTTAACATTCAGGCGCATCTGCCTGAGGGCTTGTCCCCACGTGCATAGCTCTAGAAGCTGGAAGTATCGGCCTATGTGGCTGAAATCATTACACTTACCACGACCATTTTCCCGTCCAGCAGCTTCCTCTTTATGGTTGTCTCTTTACCGTCCCATCTCTGCACTTGTCGCAGGGCTCCCCTCTCCAGCGTCACGATGCTCTGCAAAGACAAGTTCAAGGTTAGCTTGCCTCAGTTTGCGTGTCAGATGTCTCAATACATCATGTTCATTCCCCACTGCCTATAATCCTAGAAGAAATAATCCTGTCTCTCGATAGTTGACTGGACCAAGTTTCAGGACAAATATTACACATTACCTTGGTTTTTCTGTTGTCGGCTGTGGTTTCTTCAAACTCCTGGCCCAGCTTGAAGGAGATCTCTGTGTTTTTGAAGGCGCTTTCTGTTCTTATCGTCATATAATCCCCCTTCTTGCTGATGACCACAGTGGGCTTGGCCAAATTTCCCAGTTTTCTGTTGGCTAACCCCACACCTGAAAAGCAAGGCAATATCAGATTGTGGGGTCAAGGCAACATATCCAAGGGACAATGGTGGTCACATTCTGTATTCAGTAGTACCTTCAATGAGTAGATGGCAGGGTTTCCTACCAAGGACTTCCTCCATGTTTCAACAGTGAGCAGAGAAACATGTTGATGACGCAAGCATTTTAGTGTGTAGCGCTCCAGCAGTGGTGTCTACAGAGTTTACGACGCAAACGCTGTTCAGTTTTGCCCACTTTGCTATGCCCAATGCTACCCTCACCACAGAATAAATCACTTCTGTTCCATATAAGCTTAAAAACAGCTTAGTTTGTAATTACAAACATAGTTGCTTTCAATGAGACAATCTCTCTTCTCCTCCAGCCCCCCCCCCACTGTTCTATATTTTTTGTCAATAAGGAGCTATGGCCATAGTGAAACCCTCCTTTTTATATTCTTGATTGAATCTTATTTCTGATATTTTGTAGTTCCTAAATCTTCCTGGTGAAAAAACAAAATAAAACAAACTGTCCATCATCCTTTTCTGCCTGTGGACACTGTTCCAACACAGCATTAGTGTGACTGAATTTGAACTCTCTGCCGCCGACCAGTTCTTTTGCTCTCAGCCCCTTGTAAATGTTACACACGTCCTCACCTAGGGGCTGCTTCTTTTCTCAAGCTTCACAGACATGATTATTTAATAATGGACAAACTCAAAGCAAATAAAAAAGAATCTTTAGTTTGTATAAAGATTGAAATTTAAAATTGTGGTTTCTAGTATTCAACTCTTTATCTTATGAGCCTACTCATTTCTGATAAACCAGCTTTCACAAAATCCCAGAATATGGATGGACTAAAATTCTAATATTTTCCCCAAGTCTCCAAAGATAAGCCTGTGAAACTGCCTTTCGGTCCCATGCATTTAAATAGCTTCATTTAAGTTAAGTTCTGATAATTTACTGCCAATGAGGTGGAAGTAAATTTCATGAACGACACAGAAGATCTCACTTCATCCCACACGACATTCCCCAGACACCCGGGAAAAAGCGTTAGAAGAAAACCTCTTGTGCCTTTCTTTAAAGGGGTGTTTGCCATGGAGGGTTTCTCACCCAGAGCTTTCATGTAGTCATCAAAATGCTCACTGGAGACAAGTTTCCAGGTGCCTAGAAATTTGTTGCTCATTGCGATGGATGAGAATTCAGCGCAGTTCCTGATAGGATGCAGCAGATGCCCCTGAGATGCTGAGACCTTACACAGTTCTTTTCAAAGACACCCAAAGCATGTGACTTTTGCTGAGACCCAATGGGGAAAGGTGGTGATAGGACTGGGCAATGAATGGCTCTTAAGTCATAAACTGCCTACCCATGGGAAAAGAAACCCCTACATAATGTCCCTGTGTTTCCACAACCGTGAAAATAACTGAAAGTATTGTTTGAACCTTCAAAATATTCTTTTGGTTGATCTTACATTGATATGCGTGCTTAAGTCCTTCTATTCATTATATGCTAGTGTATCTATGTGTGTGTGTGCGTGCCCATACATGAGTACATTCAAGTGCACTTGCATATGTATAGGCATCTTGGTGACTCTTAATTCAGCACAATTAAGATTTTTTAAAAGAAAGAAAAAGTCTATGAGCATTGTCATAAAAGGCTCAAATATGCTGTGGGAGAGAAATGGAGGGCTGCACTGTGAGGACAGATTCAGAGGTGAGGGAGGCTTGGCATAGTTTTCATATTCTGGAGGCTGAGTAGGCAGACAAGAAGGTCAGTTTGTCACAGCTGAGCACAGAAGGTGCATTCATACATCAGGATGAGAAACAGCCTTGTAGCGTGCTCTTTGACCACAGTTAAGATTTCATCTCCTTTAAAAAAGCCAACCTGGAGATAATAAGTTCTTAGTTTCTATCACAACTTTGGATTTAAGACATTTAACAAAACTCTAGAGATACATAAAGAGACAATTTCCCACAAAATAATGCCAATGGATGCTGAGAGTTCAGTATTGAATGCCCCCATGGAATGTGCTTAGTTCAGATTGCCTCACTTCATCCTCTCAGTCTCACAAGACACACACATTGTTGTTAATGACCAGCTTGACAATGAGGAAAACTGCATCTTGAAGCTAGGAAACTTATTCCCAAAAGTAAACTATGATTCTTGGACTAGTATCTCCCCATTCTACAAAACAACAACAACATGCACACACACATACATACACATATACACATGCGCACATACGTGCAAAGACCCTGACTAACATTCAGAGATCTTAATATACCATGGCTGTTTAGCAGTGCTCTCTATTGCACGCTCTCCCCCCCTCTTTTCAATATCAGACAATCAAGTGAACCAGGTGACATATCAGAACCCCAGTCTTTGACCAGGGGGAGCAAATGTCAATCTAGTTCATACGTAAGTCTTGCTCCCAGTAATGGCTGCATGGCTCCCATACCTTGACCAGGTTTCCTATACTAACATTAATTCTGGCTGAGTAACAACTACTAGCACTGGATTTTACATTTTCAGCACACAAGTCAGCAGTGCTCACAACTCTGGAACTAAATACTCCACAACCATTTCACTTCTAACAGATAGAATCCTTGGCTTTGAAGGCTCCGGTCCCCAGTACTATAGCTGAATTGTCTCTATTGCAACCACGTGGCTCGGCATCAAGCTGACTGAGAAATGAGGTATCACATACAGTGAACCAGGCCTCATCTTCCATGGCCAGTGTCTGGTAAATTCAGCAGGGAAACAACAGTGAAAAGGAAATTTCCTTAGCCTACCCACTTCCAAACCCAAGGCAGTGTAAGTGGAGAAAGTTTGCTGTGTTGGGATAGAAACAAACCAGGATAAAAAGAGGCATTGTGGAAGGCTAGGTCAGGAAATTCAAGGGCATTAGGATACACAGTGAGACTCTGTCTTAAACAGCAACAGTGAAGGGCACTCATATAACAAATATGAAATTTCTTTTATCACCTCAGAGTAAGGGGTTGGGAAAATTTTTCTGATCAAATGGACTTAAGAAACAAGCGGGTGTAGTTATCCTAATATCTAACAAAATAGACTTCAAATAAAAATCAATCAAAAGACACAAAGAAGGACATTTCATATTAGTCACAAGAAAAATTCATCAAGAGAAAATCTCAATACTGAACATCTATGCTCCAAAGACAAGGGTATCCTCTTATGTAAAAGAAACACTTCTAAAGCTTAAATCATACATTAAACCCCACACACTAATAGTGGGAGACTTCAACACTCCCCTAGTACCACTGGACAGGTAAGTCAGACAACAAGTGAACAGAGAAATAAGAGCACTAACAGATGTTATGACTCAAACGGACTTAACAGACATCTATAGAATATTCCATCCAAACAGAAAAGAAAATACCTTCTTCTCAACAACTCATGGAACCTTCTCAAAAATTGACCACATACTAGGTCACAAAGCAAACCTCAACAGATACAAAAAAACTTGGAATAACCTCATGTATCTTACTAGATCATCATGACTTAAAATTAGAATTTAACAGCAACACTAATTTCAGAAAGCCCATAGACACATGGAAATTGAACAATGCTCAAATGAATCACCAATGGGTCAAGGAAGAAATAAAGGAAGAAATAAAGGCTTCCTAAAATTCAATGAAAATAACCACAAAATGTACCTAAATTTATGGGGCACAATGAAAGCAGTGTTAAGAGGAAAATTCATAACAGTAAATGTCTACAAAGAAACTGGAAAAATCCCATACCAGTGAGTTAACAGAACACCTGAAAATTCTAGAACAAAAAGAAGCTAACTCACTGAGGAAAACTAGACAGCAGGAAACAATCAAATCGAGAGCAGAATGCAGCAAAATGGAAACAAGGAAAACAATACAAAGAATCAATGAGACAAGTATTTGGTTCTTTGAAAAAAATCAACAAAATAGATAAACCCTTATTCAAACTAACCAAAAGGCAGAGACAGAATATCCAAATTAACAATATCAGAAATGAAAAGGGGGACATAACAACAAACATGGTGGCAATTCAGAGAATCATCAGGTCATATTTCAAAAACCTATACTCCACGAAAATGGATAGATCAAAATTAAATGAAGACCAGATAAGCAAATTAACTATATGAATAACTGCCAAAGAAATAGAAACAGATATCAAAAGTCTCCCAACCAAAAAAATCTCAAGACCAGATGGTTTCAGTATAGAATTCTTCAAGATTTTCAAAGAAGAACTAATACCAATACTCCTCTAATTGTTCCACACAAAAGAAACAGAATGAACATTGCCAAACTCTTTTTACGAAGCTACAATTACACTGATACCTAAACCACACAAAGATATTGCTAAGAAAGAGAATTACAGACAAACCTCACAAATGAATATTAATTCAAAAATATTCAATGAAATACTAGCAAACCAAATCCAAGATCACATCAGAAAAATCATCCACTATGATCAAGTCGGCTTCATCTCAGAGATGCAAGGATGATTCAACATACCAAAATCTGTCAATGGAATCCACCATATAAACAAACTGAAAAAAACAACACATGATCATCTCACTGGATGCTGAAAAAGTCTTTGACAAAATACAACATCCCTTCATGATAAAGGTCTTGGAGAGAGCAGGGATACAAGGAACATACCTAAACATAATAAAGGAAATATACAACAACCCAACAGCCAACATCAAACAAAACGGAGAGAAACTCAAAGCAATCCCATTGAAGTCAGGAATAAGACAAGGTTGTCCACTCTCTCCATATCTCTTCAATATAGTACTTAAGTTTTAGTTATAGCAATGAGATAACAAAAGGAGATGAAGGGGATATAAATCAAAAAAGAAGTCAGACTTCACTATTTGCTGATGACATGATAGTTTACCTTATGACACCAAAAATTCTACCAAGGAACTTGTACAACTCATAAACACCTTCAGTAATGTATCAGGATACAAGATTAACTCAAAAAAAAAATCAGTAGCCCTCCTTTACACAGATGATAAATAGACTGAGAAAGAAATCAGAGAAACATCACCCTTCATAACAGCCACAAATAAAATAAAATATCTTAGAGTAACTCTAACCAAACAAGTGGAAGACCTGTGTTACAGTAAGTCCAAATCTTTGAAGAAAGATATTGAAGAAGACACTAGAAAATGGAAAGATCTCCCAAGCTCTTGGATAGGTAGAATTAACATAGTAAAAATGTCAAACTTAAAAAAAGCAATCTACAGATTCAATGCAATGCCCATCAAAATCTCAGCAAAATTCTTCACAGACCTCAAAAGAACAATACTTAACTTCATATTGAAAATAAAAAACCAAGGATAGCCAAAACAATCCTATACAATAAAGGATCTTCTAAAGGCATCATAATCTCTGACTCAAACTCTACTACAGAGCTACAGTACTGAAAACAGCCTGGCATTGGCATAAAAACAAACAGGAGGATCAAAGAAACCGAATCGAAGACCTGGATGCCAATCCACACACCCACCATACCTGATTTTTGACAAAGAAGCAAAAATTATAAAATGGTAAAAGAAAGCATATTCAACATATGGTGCTGGCATAACTGGATATCAACATGTAGAATAATGAAAATAGATCCACAAAACTCAAGTCCAAATGGATCAAAGACCTCAACATAAAGCCAACCATACTGAACCTCACAGAATTAAAAATGGGAAGTATACTTGAATACATTGGCACAGGAGACCATTTTTTAAATATAACACCAGTAGCACAGACACTGAGAGAAACAATTAATAGATAGGACTTCCTGAAACTGAAAAGCTTCTGGAAAGCAAAGGACATGGTCAAAAAGATAAAACAGCAGCCTACAGAATGGAAAAAAATCTTCACTAACCCCACATTGGACAGAGGACTGATCTCCAAAATATACAAAGAACTCAAGAAATTGATCATTAAAAGAACAAATAATCCAATAAAAATGAAGTGCATTCCTAAACAGAGAACTCTCAACAGATGAATCTACAATGGCTGAAAGACACTTAAGGAAATGTTCAATATCCTTAGCCATCAGAAAAATGCAAATCAAAACAGCTCCGAGATTCCATCTGACACCTGTAAGAATGGCCAAGATCAAAAACACTGATGACAACTTATGCTGGAGAGGATGTAGGGTAAAGGAATCACTCCTGCATTG